AAACGAAGGAGCTGTTTGGTTTCTGGCAACTGTAAAAAAAAAAAAAAAAAAAAAAAAAGAAAAAGAAATTATCAAGGCATTTGCAGTGGTGTTGGCAGCAGCTAAGAAAAGTCTTCACAACATACACGGGCCAAGGTGTTTTAGAGGGCGATTTTACAGACCACCACACAGCAGCCATGCTTCAGTGTCCCTCAAAACCACAGCTAATCAAGCCCAGCTCTGTGCAGAAACTGAAGTGGCCCCTGGACAGTTACTGGCACAAATAATTTACCTCAGCCAGGCACACCCTTGGCTGAGCTTCCACAAATTCTGAGACTCATCACTTTGACCTGAACAGCACGAGCCAAAGCAAGTGTCCCATAGCCATAAGCAGTTTACAGAATTAGTATTTGTAACACTGTAACGATTAGATCAGAGTCAGGAACAGAGACTACAAGAGAGGCACCATCAGCCTTCACATCCTTTCCTTACCTTCATCACACCCCAGCCCTCTGAACTGCCACTGCCCTGAGACACCACTGCATACCTTGTGTTGTGGGAGCAGCAGAGACAGCCCTGTCCACAGGCTGGCAGAGTACAGGAGCAGTGCCGAGCCCAGGTGTGCTGCTAGGCGGTACTGACTGACCCGGGGGATGTCGTACGAGTCTGGCTTCTCTTCCAGCCCACTCTTCACCATGTACCATCCCAGCAGCCCCTAACAAAACAGGAGAGGGCTCAGGGCCAGACAGGACAGCAGCAGCTACTAAAATAGGATAAACATTAGGGGCAAAGCAACTTGTTTCCTCTACTTTCAATTAGCTACCAGCACTGACACACTGTCATGATGTCACTGACACCAAGCTATCACGAATCCCACTGTCTTAGTTATGCTGAATCAGAAGATATCAAACTGACAGAGGGCAGGTTTAGATTAGATATTGGCAAAAAATTCTGTGCTGTGAGGTGTCACCAAATTTCTCTTCACAGAGAAATGCAAGGCACAATTTTTCCCAGGAATATTTCTGGGTTTCACATTCTCTGAACCTCGGAGAAAGGAAAAACAATTCTTATCTCATTTGCTGTGCCTGTGTTTGTGCAAAAGTAGAAGGCAATATGGAGATTGTTTACCCAAAGTGATGGTGTTTTGTTTCCTTGCCCTATCAGGGACAAGAGAGTGTGTGTGTGTCAGGACTGTCACTGACAGTCACAAGATTCTGGGCAGTGTGTGCAGTTGGGTGCTTGGCAGGTTCAGTTTAGATGTAATGTAATATAATGTAATAGAGTATAGAATAATATAGTATAATAAACTAATTAATTAGCCTTCTGATATCAGTGGAGTCCTCCTCATCATTCCTCTCCTTCTCTGGGGGCAAAAATATCCACTATAGTGAGGGTGGTGGACACTGGGACAGGTTTCCCAGAGAAATTGTGGATGCCCCATCCCTGGTCAGGTTGGATGGAGTTCTGAGCAAACTGGTCCAGTAAAAGATATCTCTGGTTCAGGGGCTAAAATTGGATGATCTTTAGGGTCATTCAGTGATATTCAGAGACAGGGGGGCTAAAACTAGATGATCTTTAGGGTCACTCAGTGACATTCAGAGGGGGCTAAAACTGGATGATCTGTAAGGTCACTCAGTGACAGAGGGGGCTAAAACAGGATGA